AATCAATAAATTGAAAAAGTTATCGACAGATTAATCAATTTGTAAAATAATTGTTTCAGTTCATGACCATGGCAAAATGTAACAAAAAGTTAAAATAAACCAACATCTTCTGCACCCAGCAATGCTTGTGCATTTATCACAGCCAGATCATCCAAGCTTTTGTCACCCAATAGAGAATTGGCAGACTGTAAGAGGTGGCAGTAAATGACAGGCTTTGCTTATTTAAAAAGAAACTACATTTATTTTAAATACACCTTTGAAAAAAATAATTTAAACTTAAGGGATGAATTGGAGAAAAGTGGGAATTAAATTCGTTGCTGAAAATATCTTTTTCAGAGAGGAGGTCAATCGAGCTGAATATAAGGGATAGTGTTTTAGATGTTGGCATGATCTAAGCTTTGCTCTCTACTTTTACTGTTACTTGGTGATTTAAAAACTATTTATAGTGAGACGACACGTAAACCAGATTTTGCGGTGGAAAAACCTACACTGCGCATCAACTTGAACACACCGTTTCCCACATAAAACACATACAGGCTTAGTACATCTAATGTACTAAGCCTGTATGTGTTTGTGTATGTGTATGTGTATACATCTCTACAGGCTTAGTACATTAGATGTACTAAGCCTGTAGAGATGTACCCAAAAACACTTGTAGTAGTGAGAAGGTGGCTCTAGAGTTTTTAAAAAAAGGGGCATTGACACAAATACCTGCCACACTTCTTTGCTAAAAAAAAAAAAAAAAACACTAACCTTTGTGGTCTTTCTTTCTACTTTATATATAATAGGACACTAATTTCAGTTGGTCTCCACTTGGACTAAAACATTCAGATTAATCGTGATTACTCGATTATTAATCTAATCGTCAACTAATTTAGTAAGCTATAAATTGTGAACTGCAGTTTAGAGACTAAAACAAGCCTTTGGCTGACAGAGCAACCTACCTGGAGCAGCAACTATACAAAAAATTGTAAAAAAAAAAAATATATATATATATATTTAAACATTTTGCATTTAGGATGAAAACGTTTTTGTCTGTCAATATGCTCTATCCAGAACTCCTCAAGTAGAGAAGTTGGTTTAATTTAGTATAAAATCTTCTTTAAGGAACCTTTTGCTATCCGTATATGAATCGATTAATTGAAAAAATAATCCACAGATTAATTGATTTGCAAAATACAGTAATCGTTAGTTGCAGCCCTAGTCTCTACATAAAATCCCAACATGGAGTTATGGTTGAAATGGATCAAATGTGCAAAATGAAATATGTGATCGACAGGATCCTTCACGGTGATAAGAGTTGCTGCTGCTTTGCTTTTCTTTAATCTAAAACATTTTTCTCTACTGCCCGCATGACTGATAAGTCTGTAGGCCTCCTTCGTCTTTACCATTAAGCATAATTCAGTGACACGGCATCAATCCCATCACGCACTGCAGGCTAGGTATGAACAGCGTCTCATTTTTCAGTTAACTGGCAGTATTTGTGTGTGAAAATGACTTTAGTGACATTAGCTGCTCGTTTTGCTTTTCATCGATATTAGATGAGTTAAGAAAAAGTTAGATAATATTTATTATACCCATGTGATGGCATAGTTGTGTGAGAATGTGTTAGGCCTCTTGGACTGGAACTGAGTTCAGATGGAGAAAAGCAGCGCGGTCGCTTCAGTTCTTTATTAAAAAGGCCTGAAACTTTAAAAGTTTTATAGAGTTTTTATTAAATTCCAATAAAGAAATGCTCTTCTCTTCCACATTCTCATTACAGATGGCTTACTTTTAAATTGATTCATTTTGTTTCTTGACTTATTAAAATTTCTTTTTTAATGACGAGAGAGACTATAAACATACAGAATGGGTGGATATTAGTTACTTTTAGAAAAGTTTGTTTATAGGCCAAGCTGCTCGATAGGCATCAGATTTGCAGAGCACCTAGATTTAGTAGGGTATACAAAACCTGCCACACAGTGCTGCAGGTGTTGCTTCTCTTCATACTCTCTTGTGCACGCAGAAATGCTGAAGGTTTAGGAGAGGGCTGTTCTTTTTGGTTGCTTTGACCCATTTTAAATCGAGCTTTAGGAAGAGGTTGGAACTGAGCGAGATGGAGGTGAAAGGAACTTGTCTCAACTCCTCTCATCGACTTTGTCAGCTTTTCAGATCACGTGACCAGTTGGCATTTTAGAGAAACCACATGCACCTGGAGTGAGGTTAAATGTCAGGGCCCCCTCCCCTTCACACGTGTTTAGCCACAACTTAAATTTAAACACTCACACACTCACTTTCTGGCTTAACTTTCCTAATAGGGAGTTGATAGGCTTAATACGCTTCCCTAACCTTATATCCTCACCTTTTACAATCTATAAGTCTAAGTCTTAACAAAATCAGATTTTAATATAGCCATGAATTTAACTTTTAACTTTTTTTAAGTGGTTATTTTTTCATCTAGAGCTTTGATTCTCTTAAAACTAAAAAAGGCCCAAAATAAGTTGAATTTGTGCTTCAAATGTTGAGTTTAAACTGAATATGTCAGCTGGTTTTCCTGCAAACTGAGAACTATTTTATGAAGAGCTATGAGAGAATGCGATATCGTCTAAGACTTCAAATCATATGTAGTTCTAGTTAGTGACAGCAGGAAGGGCGTCTTCCTTGCAGCAGTTTAAGTCAGTCAAACAGTCTGCATGTATTGATAGTCTGTTTTTTTGTGTGTTTTATTTTTTTGAACCACAATGAAATTCTTCATGTCTGTATTTCTGTATCCTCTTCAGGGTCTCCTGTTTATTCTGTTGCTTGGAGTCCGGACTCTGACAGAATCCTCTACACATCAGGAAGGCAGCTAATCATAAAACCTCTACAACCAAGTGCTAAAGTCATTCAGGTTCCCACCCTTTTTTAATCAATTTAATTAACAGTTAATTGTGGTTTTGAGGCTTTTTATGAGAGAGGAGCTTGATTTAACAGAATCTGCATTTCAGAATCTTTGCATGGTTACAGGTACAGACTTCAATGTATTTGAATGTTGGTTGGAGGATTTAATGTTATAGAACAACAAAAAGGTTTGACATAATTGTTTTTTTTTTTGTTTTTTTTTAACAAATTAAAAACAGATATATGGCTGTTTTTAATCCCTTCTGACAATTTAAAATCGGAACTTTTTTACCCCTTTTTTTGAAGAATATTTCCAGATTAGTAAGCTTTAAAAAAGTGTCTTTCAACAGCAACTTATAAATCCTTCTATTGATTCATAATTAGATTTAAAGGGTTATAGTCACATTGGCTACATTCACACAAATTTTTGCGTTGCTGTTCACATTTCCAAATATATGCAACTTGTATGTGAACTCCTGTGTAAACTGCATTCATACAGCTTAAGTGTCCCACATGCGCAGTAGAGGACGCAATGATGTCACAAGCCAGGGTGCTTCGTGTTTACGGAAGTAAACATGGATGGTAGTGCTGGAGTGCATCTAGCGATGTTTCCAAACCTTAAAACCTCAATCTTTTCAAGATGGTTAAAAAAAATACTGCTCTCCACATTATCGTCCACCATGGTTGTTGTTTTTGTAACCCTAAGCCGCTTCTTTGTAGCAAGAAGCAGAATAGTGACCTATGTCACGTATTAATGGGGTTCAGGTCAGATGAATGTGACCTGGCCGTTCAGACACAGGTCGCATTTGAAAAAATCAGATTCGTATCAGATTCAGGACCAAATAGTCAAGTGGTCTGGGTCGCATTGGAAAAAATCGGATCTGTGTTATTCAGACAGCCATGTGAAGATCAGATCCAGGTCGCATATGGGCAGAAAAATCGGATTTGGGTCACTTCAGGCTGCAGTGTGAACGAGCCATTATCTTTCAATACAAAAAAGACCAAATTTGATTATGATAAAATAAGATCACATACACCCAGGTTTCCTCTTTTCTATAATCTTTTGATAGACCTTTTTGAGCCTTAATAGAAATCCAGCATGTGGTGCAATGAGCAGACATAAACCGAATTGGCACCATCTGCCAGCGGTGCTGGCATACTTTCAGAAAGCTAAATAGCGACTTCTGAATAGACCCCGACCGTCTTGCAATGCCTTATGGTAAAGCAACTAAGAGTTGTCGAGGAATATCCAATAGTGATTAACTAAACTGATCTACAGCAACTCTAAGTACTACTCTGTCCTCCTCAAAGCCTCCCACAGACCATTCCCATTAAATGCAGACAGGGACAGAATCAAGTACCAGTCTGTGTGTCTACCTGTCTGTCCGTCCATTCATTGCATTCAGTAGTATCAGTATTGATGTAGACATTAACTCATGCATCCATCAAATTAGCAGCCACATCTGAACTCCTCGCAGCTTCAGCATCAGCATTAGTTCATATTTCATTTCTGTTATTGTTCGAATCTTATTGCTATTGGAATCAAATAATTTTTTGCGTGTTTTCACATTGGATCTTTGACTTCTATTCATTATTTTCACACTTCCCTGGGAGGTGCTAACTTGCTTTATAAGACTCCCGCTAATACGTCCGTCTCGTAACAACCAGCGAGCCGGACCAATGACACGCCAGAAGTGTTTTTTGGGGCGGGACATGTAGGAAAGACGACAGTCAGAAGGGCCTCACCAGGGCATAACAAACATGGCTATGCTGGAGCCAAAATAATGTAAATTTCTTGTTTAAAATAGGAGAAAATTGAAGCACTTTGTGCATTTGTAGATGGCAAAGATGTCTGTGCTTTTCTTCCAACAAGATTTGGAAAAAGTTTGATTTATCAGCTTACTTTGCTAGTAGTGAAAACACTCAACATCATGAGACGCCGCTCAAAGCGTATTATGGAATGCAGGTACTAGCTGGCGCATCACCCAATCAGCTCGAAGTATTGTACTAAATGTCCCTGCTTTTCACGGACAGACTGAATGGCAGCCATCCTAGATTAATAACGTTGAACTCAACTCGCTTCTACACATATCAATCTGGCTACTGCCAGGTTACTGTTGGCTAGACAGCCTCCTTCCATAATGACTTTCTTTCTGTACTTTTCTGCACTTCGTTATCAACAAATCTCTGAGACGTTAATAGAACAGCTGTTTTTATACTGAGATTACATTAGATACACCTGGTATTTAAAGATTAGGTAGCTGCTAAATGCTATTTATGGCTCAGATTGGATTTTAGGGGTATCACAGTAAATAGGGATGGAAATATAAATTCCCTCCACACTTTTTAGATTTTAAATTGTGCAACACTTCGAAACTCACACTTTTCCCTTACCTTCACTGTTACACCGTTTCTTTTATTGCATAAAAACTTAGTAGAATAGACAAACAGTTTGAAACTCTAACACAGACATGTCCAAAGTCAGTCCTGGAGGGCTGCTGTCCTGCAGCATGTTTCTTTGCTTTAGCAAAGCTGATTCTGATGATTGTAGTTCAGCAAAAGCCTGTTTATCAGCTATCAATTGAAATGAGCTGTGCCGAAGCAGAGAAACCTCTAAAACCAGTGGCCCTTTGGGCATGCCTGCTCTAACATGACCAGTTCTAAACACTTTAAACATACACCAATGCCGCCGAAGACATGGCAAAATTAACTGTAGAATAAAGTATGTATAGGTTCATTTTTAAATGTGGATTTTTTTCATACACTTAAACCCCTTCTGAAATCAGCACTATAGTTTTTTTCGTCAATAAGGAGATCTCAAAAACATATTGTTTCATTTTTCAGAATCTTGTCGGTAATTTCTCTCTGAGCCTCATCAATATCTTTCACTGAACAAATAAACAAAGTAGGACAATTATGAGAGTTCAGTTTTTTATAGTAAAGAATCTTCCCCTGTAAAGTACTCACTTTTTTTTCACAGCTTTTGTTTTTGCTGTTAACAGCAGCTAACATTCAGCTCAGTTAAACCTGTGCATTTGTCTAATAATGGATATGCAGCAGCGTGAGTAGGGTTGTTAGACTTTCTGTCTACTTTCTTTTACGCTGTGCAGCGAGAAAATAAATAAACGTCTTTCTTTGCTGTGGCAGAGTTTCAGCCTTCCTGATGGATCAGTAAATTAATGACCATGCACATTCACTGCTAACATGTTTCTCTATAGATGACCTTATACACTAGGGAGAATTTTTCTTGTTCATGTATGCGTTTGTTTATTATTCTTCTCGATGCTGAGCAGCACCTGGGACCTTGGATAAACAGGGGAGGGTTTAATGTGTGCTTTGCTTTCTCTTGGCCATTAGCAGACATACGAGTACAAGCACACACACACACACACACACACACACACACACACACACACACAAACTGAAAAGTGCCACTTCATCACCTCTCCCTCACACCCCCTCCGAGACCTACTTGATGGAAGGCACAATCAACATAAATACAAAACTGTGAAAGATCCTCTTCAAAGTTTGCTAGTCTCTCACCCAGACAATGAAACACTTGGATTTAGCTGAGTTTATCTTGGGCATATAGAAGTAGGATTAACTGAACAGAGTTTTACATTAAACTCTAATAAAGTTCATAAAATGTAATGATTCAGTTAGATTTGGGTGATATGGACCTGAAATTTTAATCACAGTATTTTTTTAGTGCAATGGTGATAATGACAAACATGATCATTACAAGCTTTGTAATACTTTTCTTTGGTGACTGCATTTCTGTGACTGCATGAGACAGCAGTCGTTGGCCCCGAAGTCATGATAATACATTCTTGAAAAAACATACCCTGGTGCATAAGGAGGTGTGATTTTTATCACAAAATTGAACACAGTAACTTGATTTTTATTATTTTTATTATATTTATGAATACTCTAATGGAATAAACAGTGGAAATAAGGAAAAAAAATAAGCATTCCATATATTTTGCCATATATTTTTCTTTTTTTTTTCTTTTAAACAAAATTCTTATAACAATGAATTTATCACTGTAACAATAGACAATACAATAAATGCACATCCACAGAATATAGGCCAACTTGCTTGACATTTCCTCATTTTTACTGTATTCCCCTTCCTATGGAAAAAATTGAAGAAACAAATGAGCAATCATTTATTTATTTATTTATTTTGGGTGAAAAAACAGGGAAGAGTAAATGTACAGATGATTAAGTGATGTGTAGTTGAAGTTTTCTCTGTCCTGCTGTCTCTCTTTAGTGGAAGGCTCATGATGGACTTGTTCTTAAAGTGGACTGGAATTCAGTCAATGACCTCATCCTATCAGGTGGAGAAGACTGTAAATATAAGGTTTGTGATTTTTACATATACTGTCTCATTTTAATAACAAAACAAAAATGAATCCCTGTTCATATATAGCTCTGTTAAGGGAAGGGAAAATGGGGGTTTAATATTATTAAACAAGCCTCCTGCACAAAGTCATAAACTGGGAATATGATCCAGAGTATAAAAGCAATAAATAATAAGTAGAGGAGTTTAGACTTAAAGCATCTAGTGGCGAGTTGTGGAGTAAAAATAAATCTGGTTCATGACACATGACTTGGTTCAGTTATATTAAAAAGTGTGAAAAAGTTGGAAGCAGATACTTATTCTATTGTCATTAACTGCCCAAAAATTTTCCACAGTAGTAAAAGTGTTTGAAACTTCGTTTGCGCTTTTTTTAAAAGTATGTCAACAAAACCCAAAAGCTTCATCCTTTCTTATATCAAAATAAGATCATTAGAAGTCTAAATTAGAGGTTTAAATCTCCGTGTTGGATACATGTAGTTCACAAGAGGAAGTCCTATCAACCAGATACTGCTCCATAACACAGATGCACACTTTGACATCATCACTGGGGTGTTTGAATCTCTACCGCTATGAATAAATTGTAACACTTCTAGTATTTATTAACAAAACTTTAAAGGCCGATTATGCTCACATTTAGCTGTCTCAGTGTTCAATGTTATTACCAATATAGCCATCAGGGTAGAAAGTAGGCTCACATGCTCTTTTCAGCTGATTTGTATGATAGCAAGTTGACTTTGCACGTCCAGGAAGTGATTTAGTGATGATGTACAGTTTGTTTGGCCATCCTTAAGCGGTATATATACAGTTAAACAAGACCTAGAATCAGTTTGTGACAAGAAGATTGAAAAAGTTCATTTGAATCAGAAGTGTTTTCCCAACCAGCAACAACATCACCTCAATAAATTCAATCACGTGGAAATGAATGGTTTGGAAAAACCTATATAGTGAACTTTATGTGTATTGCTGATTTTTTTTTTTTTTTGTACCAAACCCCCCTGACATCCAACACCCTTAGCTTGTTTTTTCTCAAAGTTAAACCTGTTTAAATATTCAGGTATCACTGACTTTACTTGTAACATGTGAAAGGCCAGATGGCCTCAGAGGCCAATCTTGTTCTGGGTTTTTGACCAAAATTTTTTTTTGGAAGAGCTCAAAGACCCTTTCAAATTGAGCCTGAGATGCTTTTTGCCACCTCAGTGTAGTCTGTATAAGAGCTGACGTGGCATGGCTAGGGTTGAGGATAATCTATTCCTGGTAACTAAGGAAGGCAGAGTTACTGAGGATGAATGGGATGGGGCAGCAGCCGGTTAAAATGCATTATAATCATGGGGTGATAATAATGGTTATGGTTTGACCAATAGTTCTGCAACCACGCTAGGTTAAGTAAATCCACAGGGTTACACAATATGAATAATTCCCATTGACTGGAATGTGAGATGCCGTGGGTTAGTTAAAGCAGTCCTGGGATTGAGAAATTCACTCCTTCAGTTTGAGTGATTTGCCCTCACACAGATTTTTAGAACTGGCCAATCAACATAATGCGCTTGCAGCATATTATTAACATTGATTGATTTGAGGGGAAAAAAGCAAGAAAAAAAGTCCATCATACCTATTGCTCTGGACCAAAGGAAGATCGTCCATTTCCTGCCAACATCTCATTTAAAGCAAAGCAAAACTGACAGTGCCAAAGTTCATTCAGAATTCCATTAAAATCCAAGTAAAGCACAAAATTAATTAATTGAACTGAACAGCATGAGAGAATAAACAAGTCCAATACATTGATTTATAAGGCTCCTGAGCTCAGTGTAAGCAAGCGTGTATTTAAAGTCGCGCATATTTAAAATGTGTAAACAGGAACATTACTGCTTGTACTAAAACTCAACTTTTTTCAAATAATTCTATTTTTCAGATTCTTGATTTAATATAATGAAGTATCTCCTCCCTTCAAAGGTTTGGGACAGCTTCGGACGTCTGCTTCACACATCGTCCTCTCAGGACTACCCCATCACCTCTTTGTCCTGGACCCCAGATGGCGAGGTGTTTGCCGTGGGCTCCTTCAACACCCTGCGGCTTTGTGACAAGACTGGTGTAAGTAGATCATTTAAACTCTTCTTTTTAATAAGGCTGGAATCCTCACAGTTACACTTTAAATTAATAAACCCCGACATACCTGTTTTAAACGGCCTCAGCACACAGTGTTCATTCAGCAAGCTCCTTCGATTCCTACTCTGCTCACATTTTCCCCTTCATAGTCGAGTGTGCCAACCTCCTACTTTTCTTGTGACCGACTTATGGGGATGAAGAAGAAGAATTGTTGCTATTAAGTTTGATATGCTATTAGAGGGTCTGGTACCCTTTTGCGCCAGGCACCCACTGCACACCTGTCAGTACGATGCAGTGCTGTGAAGCCGCCCATCCTCCTACCTGCTGTACCTGCTTAATCCCAAGTACTTGCATAATTGGTGATATTTTAAACCCCGTTAGCAATTATTATTATTATTTTTTAAAGAGACTAGCGTCAAATCTAGCGACCACTTCCTGTCCTTTTGGAGACTTTGGTCATCAGTGAGCAGTGAGTGAGCAATCAAGCCCCTCCCTCATGAGCCACACATGTGCAAAACTTCTAACAAACCCCCTGAATTAAAGAATGGGATGTAAATATATTCAAGATTCAAGAGAATTTATTGTCATTCACATCATGTGTTACATGAGGTAGAACGAAATTGAGAGTCACGGCCCCAGTTACATCCGAATATAAAAAATAAAAAATAGGAATGTACAGGATGGATGAAGTATGAGTAATGCAGCGTGGGAAGATAAATTTAGCAGTGCAACATTTTAAAGTGTCCGAGTGTAAACTGCAAATACAGTGTCATTGGGGGGGTTAGGGGTTGAAGTTACCAAGTTATTGTTAGGGACAGTTCAGTGAGACAGACTGAGAGGAGTTTGAGAGTCTCACAGCTTCTGGTATGAAGCTGTTTCTCAGTCTGGTTGTCCTGCATTTGATGCTCCGCAGCCTCCTGCCTGAGGGTAGCGGGACAAAAAGTGAGTGTGCTGGGTGAGTGGGGTCCTTCATGATGCAGGAGGCCCTTTTCCTGCATCTGGAGGTGTAGATGTCTGTGGTGGTGGGGAGGTTGA